GCCACAGCCTGGTCGCCTAACAGCTTATTGCTTTAAAATTTCCAATCAGAGGTCATTTTTAGTACTTTGCTGTTGCTGTCATTATTGTCATTTTGATTTCCTCAACTGAGGGGCGCTCTGTTTTTTTTAAACTATGAACTACAAGATCCTGTGTTTCTTGGTTCCAGTCACGGTGTTTTTTAACCTCAGCGACGCGGAAACCAGCATGTCTGATTTCGCAAACTGTACACTTACGGAGTACCTTTGTGACGCGCGCAAGTGCACCACACAATTCATCAAAAGCGTTCAAAATGACCCCGAAGGAGACTGTGGGTAAGTATGTTTGATTTAACACCAGTTAGAAACGTTTCTTAAGCCGAGGTCTTTTGTTTTAAAAAGTCTCTCTTCAGATATAGATTGAGAGCTATCTTTAAACGCCCTAAATCAGTTCTTGAAAATTGAATTTAAAAAAATTGGCCTAATGCGAAGGTTCAACAAATTGGCATGCACAAAAGCTGAAGTGACTGTTCCTAATCAGTTTATGCAAATGAATATTCCCTTAGAAAAATATTTTAATGGTATGCCTTTTGACAATAGGTAATTTTCATACTTCACCTTGGAAAATACCATAATACTCTTTTATATCCAGATTTGGGTGATTCTTCCAACTTCCTTCATACCACGAGCAGACGTGCTAAGTGCTGAAAGTTCTCGACACTGTTCTTGCTTTCTACTTTTATAAACAGAACCAGCGATGGAGTGGCGTTAGCTAAATGTAGTTAACTCTCTGTAAGGTTGTAGATGCAGAGGTCTGTTTCTCAAGGGCACATAGAGATACGTCAGAGGATTTTGGTTGTTACGATAACATTTTACCTGACTCTCCCATAAGTGTCATAAATATTTTTGTGATTCACCCCTTCCCTCACTGACAGTTAATTGCAGTCAATTATTCTAGGTCCCCATAATACTCTATACTCTGTCGGCGATAACTGATCTCCCTCCGTCCCCCCCCCTAAAAACCATGTGCCACCCCACCCCCCCCCAAAAAAACCTTCACCCACCCTCCTCCTCCTCCTCAGGCGATAAGTAAGTAATTACTGAATGTTGGTTAACCTCTGCGCATGCTCAACTGACTGTTGTTTCCTTCTTACTGTACGTAGAGTCCAGTACAACAAAACCTTGGACTGTGTCATCATTTCAAACAAGCTATGCGGAAGGGTTTTTCCGAGTGACTCATTCAACAGGACGATTGATGATAGTTTGCGTGAAGGCATCAAAGAGGAATATATATGTAACGAAGCATTTTTGGGTGAATTTCTCGTTCCCATGGAGCTGCGTAGTGACCCATTTTGTTCAGATGTGTTCTTTAACAACACACAAGCATGTTTGAAAACTTTTCATGAAAAATTTATGGCTGACAGATCGGACACCACTCTGTGCGAGTAAGTAGTAATTTTATAACGAGTAACTGAGTCTCGGTCACTAAAGGGACTTGTCACTTTCACTGCCTTGGAAGTCAAATTTTTTTCTTCATCGCCTTAGCAGTCTATTTTCTAAAAGTCTCTTCCCCTTTATACTCTGTCAGCCACAACTCATTCTCCTCCGATCTACCTGAAAAACATGTGATGTCCCATAAATCTATCCTTTCAATAAGGGAAAGGGGACTGATCAAAGCTTCTTGAAAATTTAGGGTCAACTCTAAATCAAAGAGGCGAGTGCTCCTATCTCTATGCCAGTTTCAGCATGGTTTTTAGTTAGGTAGGGACAGGTGGGGGACGGAGGATTTTTGGAGATTTTGTTTATGTTACGATAAAATCTACCTTATCACACCCCCCCCCCC